AAAAAAAAAAGGACACAGGAAAGAAAGAAACGGCCATGTGCCTGACTGAACTGCTACAAAAAGCAAGCCCGAGTTTCAAATGCAATTACAAACTAGGGCCCTGACTAAACTGCAATTGAAACTCGGGCCCTGACTAAACTGCTAAAACGCAGTTTCAAATGCAATTACAAACTGTAACCCTGACTGCGCCGTAGTTTTCTCAAAACAAAAAAGAAAACGGGACCAGGAAAAAGTAAAGATAGATGGTTGCTTTCCTTTCTTTTCATTTTTTGTTTGGGGGGGGGGGGAAGAATGTATCTGGCTTCACTTCTGCACGGCGTTATATGAATCTTGGGGCAATCACGTTCAGATGCTGGTTTCCCGTTTCCCCCTTCTCGTTTTTTTTTTTTTTTTGGTAATCAGATCGTTGGCTGTTTCTGCACTTGCTCCCCGTGAGAGACGGGGAGCATTCAATGCCTCAGGTCCCAGAGGCAGTGTGACGTTGCAACTTCGATGCATGTATCTGGCTTCACTGCTGCACGGCGTTGTATGAATCTCAGGCCAATCACGTTCAGATGCCTGTTTCCCGTTTCCCCCTTTCGTTTTTTTTTTTTTTTTTTTGATAATAAGATAGTTGGCTGTTTCTACACTTCTCCCCGTGAGAGACGGGGAGCATTCATTGCCTCGGGTCCCAGAGGCAGTGTAACGTTGCAAGTTCGACGCATGTATCTGGGTTCACTGCTGCACGGCGTTCACGTTTCTCTCTTTTTTTTTTTTTGTTTTTTTGTTTTTTGGAAGAAGATCCTTCATGGGAGCATTGAATGCGTGAGTGGAAACAAGAAAACGACGGCCTGTTTACATTCCATCTGCTGGCAGCAGGTCTAAAGGAAGGGGCGGTACCTGCTTGCAGCAGCAGATGTCCCGTATTTTTTCCCACTCCCCGCCAGCTCGGCAAAAATTGGCACGCAGGGCATATTCAGGTTCGGCTTCAATAGCTGGGCCAAGTACTGGTGGTTTAAGGGGGAATGCTTAGGTGGTTTGGGCCAACACCGTTATATCCACGGGTTTGCGGCTGGCCAACGCTAGAACGATGCTGGTCGGAGGTGGGGTTTGGTTGCGCTGCCCTGTAACCTGAGTGAAGCAGGGGTTCGAGGCCTGGTAGACAGATCTGGGGAATTGCCGAGGGTGGAAGGCATTCCAGTGGCTCACCATCAGTGGTTGCTAGGATGACGCTGGGCGGAGTCGCTGCCCTGTAACCCAGCAAGTTGGGGATGCGAGGGCTGGTAGAGGTTGGCATCTAGGATAGGGGGTTGAGGCAGTTGTAGGATGGTCTGCTGAATAGCACTGGGGTAATGTGGTCTTGTTCATGTCGGCGCCTGAATAGGATGACGCTGACCGGAGTTGGGGCGGGTCTCACTGTCCCTGTAAACCAGCAGTTGGGGATGCGAAGCCTGGTAGAGCTTGGCATCTAGGATAGGGGGTTGAGGCAGTTGTAGGATGCTGTGCTGAATAGCACTGGGGTAATGTGGTCTTGTTCATGTCGGCTCCCGAATAATCTCAGTTGATTTTCACTCTTTTATAAGCAAGTCTGCTGCCCTGGGTTGCTCCCAGTAGTTTTTAGAATGCTCTGAGATTCTAAGGGCTCCTAGCACCTCACTGTAGGCTTTTCTGATGCTGTAATGTTCATAGGATCTGTGTTTGTCCGATGCCAGAACCACAGTGACCGGTGCTGGGGCGTTGCCCTGTAACCTATTGATAGCAGGAGCATGCACGACGCCAATAGGAATTGAACCCAAGACCTCCTGAATGCCACCTATTGATAGCAGGAGCATGCACGATGCCAATAAGAATTGAACCCAAGACCTCCTGAATGCCACTTGCATGCCTTACCAACTGAGCTACTGGTAGGCCGGTGGATACCTGGTGTATCGTTCCACCATGCCCAAAATTTTGAAGCACAAGTGCAGCGCCTACCCGGGGCTAGGTCCCACTTACACGAATTACGAGACAGAGACCGTAGATAGCTGAGATCAACGGCAGAAATCTCCTAATCCGTCCAAATGGGACCTTGCCCCCAGTAGGGGTGGCCGAGGATTCCTTGCTTTTTCCCGAAAAAAATAGAAGGAAAAAGGGGGTGGCCAACCGCCGAAGTTAGAACTCGTCCTGACATGTGCTCGGACCGCCCCCTGCGATCCCTCCACTGAGCGACACTGTGGTCGAGGGCGGGCCACGTACCCAAGCGAGGAATCAATCTCGAAGTCTCGGCGGCAATTGAACTTATGCTTGAGACCGCCAACACTTGCCATTGCCAGATCGTGCGCCCACTGTGAGAACAGGTCAACATCAGCTGACCATTTGGTTACGCGTTGGAGGTATGTCACTAGCCTCCCTCTCTCTCTCTCTCTCTCTCTCTCTCTCTCTCTCTCTCTCTCTCTCTCTCTCTCTCTCTCTCTCTCTCTCCACCATCCAGGATGCCTCCCCCTGCCCCCTTTTCCTCCTTCCCGCCGATCTATTCGTGCCTGCCCTCCCTTTCCCCTTCCTATTTTTCGTTCTTTTTCTGCCTCACTGCTCGAGGAAGTTCTGGAGGGAAAAGCAACGAGGAGGACGAGGAGAATGCGAATTGGAGGAGAAAAGGAGTGCAAGGCAGAAGGGGAGGAGGAGGACACAGAGGATCCGGGCAAGAGTGAGGATGATAATGAGGGGACGCGGGTAAACACAGAAATTCTTATGCTAGGACGTTTCTGGATGTTCATATATGCATTTCTGGTCGCAATTCAGGCGAAATTGTTGTTCGGTAGTGGTGTCAGCATGCCCTCCCACTGAGCAGGATGGCACGGAGGCGGACAATGAACGGAACGAGGCCGCCGTCGTCGCTTGCGGCAGGAAAGAGACCGGGAGCGGGAGACCCCAGAAGCGTGCGCTAATTATATGGTAGCCGTGCGCTGATGTCCGCACCGCTCGCGAAAGCCAAATGTGAAAAAGATAAGAAAGGCAACAAAATGGGGAGTAGACAGGTTTCCACATTCTACCATCCACACCTGGGGGGGGAAAAAAACCTGGCGGGAAAGTGGAATAGGAATACCCCCCTCCACCTCCGCACGCTGTAGTTTGCGATTTGGCTTGCACCACCGGATCGCTTGCTTGGTGTGTCTCTGCTCTTCTTTCTCTCTACTCTTCTTTCTCTCGTTTCTACTCTCGACTGCTACCGGATCGCTTGCTTGTTCTCTCTCCGCTTCGTTCTCTCATCTCTGCTCTTCTTTCTCTCGTTTCTACTCTCAACTGGCTCCGGATCGTTTGCTTGTTCTCTCTCCTCTTCGTTCTCTCGTTTCNGTTCTCTCTCCTCTTCGTTCTCTCGTTTCTACTCTCAGCTGCTACCCTCGTTCTCTCATCTCTGCTCTTCTTTCTCTCGTTTCTACTCTCAACTGCTACCGGATCGCTTGCTTGTTCTCTCTCCTCTTCGTTCTCTCTCTCGTTTCTACTCTCAACTGCTACCGTCTTCCCCCGAACATAACGCACCCTGAAAATGAACGTATACATGCCGTCTTTCCGGTCCGATGCAGTCAAAATGAGGGTGCGTTGTGTTCGGGGGAAGACGGTAGGCGTGTTGAATCGAATAGGAACCTATCTCTCTCATCGTCCCCCAGTCTTCCCCCGAACACAACAAACCCTAATCATGACCGCATCGCGTAGGAAAGATAGCCTCTTTACATTGATGATAGGGTGCGTTGTGTTCGGGGGAAGACGGCAGTGAGTTGCGCGCGTTTGTTCGTCGTCTAAATTTTTTTTCATCTTTCTCACCGTCTGTCGCCGTCTTTGTCCGTTACGTTTCTCACCGTCTTCCACTGTCTCGCCCATTACAGTATGTGTCTCACCGTCTTCGTCAGTCCTTCCAGGCAAACACCTACGTTGGCTGCCTTCAGAGAAAAGTGTCCACTCTCTCCCCCTCCTTCTCCCAATACCGCTTCTCTTCTCTGTGTCTTTCTCTACACGCACCCCTCCTGTCTTCTCTTTCTGTTTCCCTTCCGGTACTGATTTATGCCAAGATCTGGCGACTCAAGGTCGCTCATTGGAATTGGAGAGGGAATGGACGAGAGAGGAGAGGATAGAAAAAAGATGCCTTCTTGCCGCTTTTAACTTTCATAGAGAGAAAAAGACAGATCAGGGGAGGGGGGGGGGGGGGGGAATACAGTAAGACAGAGAAAGAAGCAATGGCCAGCTCTTCCTCTTGAACGCGATTTCATTCATAAGATTTTATTACGTCCACCTGTTCGCATGAAACTGAGAGGGCGCACGTTTCCCCGACGCACCCGTCGTTTCGACGGGTTACACTCAGGGCCAGATCCCACTGGCAAAGAGGATTGGAATGAGTGTCTGAATCTGGACGTGTTCGTCGCGAGGTGCAGAAAACTGTCATTGATCTGCTTTTCTGCATCTCTGCGTGGAACACGTCCAGATTCAGACACTTATTCTAATCGTCCTTGCAAGTGGGATCTGGCCCTCAGGCAACTCCGTTCCATCGTTTTTGTCAAGTAAAGGACATCGGTAGAGTGACTCAGGGCCTTGCTCCACTGCACAACTAACATTCTAGATGAATCTGGAGCGCGGGATGGTCCCCGTGCATTCGAAATGGTTGACCAGGCCGAATGTATAGGGTCCATACCACAGACCCGAGAGATGTAGAATGTTAAGTAGTGGAGCGAGGCCTTGACTCCTGGAAGTGATAAGAGCATATCCTCCAACAGTCCCGTCAAAGGATAATTGGTAGATATCGCTCAAAGGGAGGGAGATCCCACTAGCCATGTGTTTGGGATTAGCGTGACAGGTGTGCGGCGGGTGGGGAACGGGTGGGGGACAGCGTGGAATAGGCTGCCGCACAGCGTCGGTAGCTATGGCAACGGGTCCCGGGGCGGGGTCCCACTATGAAAGAGGATTGATTTAAGCTCCTTAATCTGGACGTGTTTTAAGATGCAGAAAGCAGTTCAATCTCGACTCTCTGCACCTTTCCACAAACATGTCCAGAGCCAGGCGTTCAATCCAATCCTCTTTGCTAGTGGGACCTCGCCCCGGCCTCGGGAGGCAGATCCCACTCCCACTGTCCATGTGTTTGGCTTAGTGTGACACGTGTGGGATTGGGATTGGGATGGACGGGAGGGTGGCAGCCTATACAGTAGGGAAAGTAAAAGTTAAAAACCATTTCATGGCACAAAAAATGAGGAGAAAGATGGTAAACAGGGAACATAAAAACCATTTCATGACCCAAAAAAAAATGAGGAGAGAAATGGTAAAAATGTGCAAAGAAAGCGTTCTTCCCACCAATCGTGTCTGCTCCAGGCCGGGTGTCCGATGTCAGGTGTCAGGCTATGATTCACTGACCATGGCTGTGGCAGTCAAAAGAACGACTGCATGTGAGCCACTAAACGGACCACATTCATGCTCTTTTATGAAGGCCGAGGGCCTTGAGATTTCATCTCATCATCGATTTGACCGCCCCTAGGTATTTCCGAATTACAGTATTTCACTCGTCTGCTTCCAGTGGTGTTCGAACTCAGCACCTGGACTGTATTTCAACAGTTCAGTTCAGGGGGGGTGTTCACCAACTGAGCTAGGCCAGCTGGTAAGGCAACGCGTTACCACAACCTAGGTACCACGCATGTCGTCAAGAAATAGAAGCCGGATATAGCCAAAGAATAGGACCAAGTTCATGCAGAAATTCAGGGAAACTACGAGGCTCGAGAGTCGGACGGAGAGGAGCAGGGTGAAGAGCTGCGGACATAATTCAGACACAGAGAGAAAAGAAAGATACGGAGCAGTAGATAGATCCTACATTCAGATCCCTCATCCATCGTCCCTCCACTCACGTTGTCTTTGAGGTTTATTTTCGGTCTCAGCATCAGGTACGTATTCTTTTTTTTTGTTTTTTTTTGTTGAACTTCGAGTCACGGATACCACTTAGGGAGGTGACCAGAGCAGCCTCCCTAAGTGAGTCCCCGGTTGAAGGCTCTAGCCATGAGAGAGGCAAGATTGGGGAAGATGCAAGGTATGCATACCTTGCAAACAACCTTGCCTTTCTCATGGCCAGAGCTGAAAAAGTGATGATCCTGGAAGTCAATGTTCTTTTTTTTTTGAAATACACAGCACGTGCTGGGAACCGGACCCAGCGTCCCTTATGAAATGTACAACATATTTGGAACACTTGGAAATCCTTCCCCTGCCAGCATTGATTACCCTGGATACCAGGGATACCAGGGGATTGACTGAGCGGAGTACTTTCTGAGGACTTTCTCAGAGCATGTACCTCAGCAACGATCTCAGGGGTCAAAGCTAGCATTAGGATTTGGGTGTGCGTAGCAGGTGTGGAAAGGTTTCAGAAAATCCAGTTCTTTCACAACTCATTGTGCAAGATGTTCCAGTGGGAATCGCCAGCCTGTAGACGCACATAGTCATGCGAGAAATGTCATGTGCAACGGATTAAACAAACGAGATGGACTAGGAGGGCAGTGGATCAAGATTAGCAATAGTTATGTGTGTGTGTGTGTGTGTGTGTGTGTGTGTTGTCTTTTTTTTTTTTTTTTTTTTTTTTTGGGAAACAAAAGTTCCAATCTGTGCGTGGGGGGCAACGCGTGCTGGGAACCGGGTCCAGCTTCGCGTATGAAATGGTGCAAATCTGTTGAGATACCGGGCCCATTACGCGCCTTCGGCTGAGAAAACATCTAAGAACACTTGCCGTAATTCAGGAAGCATGGGAGTGGGATTGGACTTTCCTAATGATCAATTAAGGAACTACTCATGCAGCATGGGAGTAGGATTGGACTTTCCTAATGATCAATTAAGGAACTACTCATGCAACAAGCCACCACAGAGGTCCTACAAATGCTCAAAACCCTCGGAATCCCTAACAAACCTTTCCAAAGCTCTCCAACACTGTCTTACTCCCCGCCGAGCTCTTCCAGGCCTCACTCCCCCAAATCCTGCTGGGTTACAAGGCAACACGACTCGCCCCAGCTCCGACCAGCGTCTTCCCAGCAGCAACCCTTGGTTGTCCGGTGGAATGCCCACCCCTAAGCATCCCCAGATCTCTCTACCAGGCCTCGCGCTCCTGCATCAGCAGGTTACAGGGTAAAACCCCAGCACCGGCCAGCGTTGCTCTGGCATTGAACAGCCGTTGTCATATTCGCTATACACTCAAAAAAAGCATGACTGTGCCAGACTGTTTCGTCGGACTTTCACCGACTCATCAGGAGGTTGAACCTGGACACAGTCTGCCCAGGATTCATTTGACTGATGGATAAGGACTCACCACATCGCCCAGAGTTAGCAACACCCCTGAGAAAATTGGTCGACTTTACTCTCAGGGAGAGAGAGAGAGAGAGAGAGAGAGAGAGAGACAGAGAGAGACAGAGAGAGAGAGGAGTTTGAAAGTCTGTATGGGCGTATCCAACAGTCAATCCACAATCAGAGAAGCAATGAATGCTGTTTGGAGGTTTCTCTGGCTATAATGAAGGGGAGCTTGTGTCGTATATATATTCTTGCAATTCTTACTTGCGGTGGAAAAGAGACCAGACTGCTACCCCTCAGAATAGAACAGAGCCAGGACATCTTACTTGCGGTGGAAAAGAGACCGGACTGCTACCCCTCAGAATAGAACAGAGCCAGGACATAAGTCCCTGTTTGTTGAACAAAAAATGAAAATGGTTAGGATGTAGACACGAGACATTGTTCACAAAACTTGCACAATACTTAACCCGGAAGATCTAAATTTTTGCTAAAGGTCATTGCCTCATCTGGATGGCAAGTTTGTGTAGAAGTAGAGCTAGAAGTTGGTCATGAATTTGCATAGCTTTTTCTGAAAACTTTCTCAGCTGAAGCTGGGTAATGGCTTTGGTATCCTCTAAAGCATGAGCAAACAAATACAATGTAATCTCTTCAAGTGACACTGGGCTCGGTACCCAGCACGTGCTGCTCCCCACAAATAGATGGAGCGTTTTTGTTAAGGAAAGAAAAAAAAAAAGAGTAAAAAGGTTATTCTTTTTTTTTTTCTTTTGTTTCTCCAGCAGGACAGTAGCCTAAATTTGGTGAAATTTTGTTCCTTGCATTTCCTTAGGCTCCTGAGATTGGTACAGTGTTACTCGAGCAACTGCTTGTAAGTGAAACTGGGTAACGCTCCCAGGATAACTCCGGGTTGAATTGTGAGGTCCCGGGCCTCAATTTAACATGTTATAGTGAGATGTTACGTTGGCAAAAAAAAAAAAGAAGGCTGCAAGCCTACAAAACCTCACAAACCAAAAAGCAACATGCCACAGTATCCTACCTACAAACTATCCTACCCCCATACCCATCTACAGTTCCGTCTAAGTCGACGGGTGGTCCCGCATGGGACCCATGGACCTGAATCGGTTCTCACTCCTCGTACTCAGCCAACCGCCATCCTCCTGCAGATTAAAGAACCGAGCAACCCAGGTTCAACTTCCCGGTTAAACAACAAACCATCTGTCCCAAACTAACTTTCCTTCTTCCAATTTCACCAACTTACCTTCTCTGCCCCAGGTGTCTCCAAACCACTTCGTCGGACGACCCTGGCCCTTCCTCGTCCAGTCTGCCTGAATGACTCTTCTCAAGGACGTTTTAAACATGCTCCTGATCTCCTTGTTTGTAATTTCCTTGTTGTGAAATATTCGTAGGTTTCTTTCCGTCCAAATGACGTCACAGCCAATCGCACGAACAGCTTGAGCAATATAGCCCCATCCTTCCTTTGGATTCAGTGAGTCTTGGATTCCACCCAGAAGAACCCAATCTTGATTCCAATCTAGACAATTGTCTGTAATATTGGTCCAGAAATTTTGCCACCAGTCCCAAATTCGCTTCGAGGCTGGGCAGTCATACCATAAACGAGTGGTAGACTCATATGCCCAGCCGCATCTTTTACAAGTCATTTCCACTTTCAATCCACAGTGTACCAGGTTTACCGCCGACGGAGTTGCCAGTAAGGAGAGCAGCCACAAATTGGCTGCCAATCTTGGATTCTGGGCCTTTGCCAGTTGTCCCCAGCAGCGAGATAGAGCTTTCTCCACTGTATGATATTCANATATTCACAGTCCAAAACTTGACACCATCTGGCCGTGGCTACATTTAGCAGGGTACGAGGGGGGGTCTGGATCTTGTACCCCAAGGTTACCGAATAAGATGAAAGTGGTAACTTTTCACCCTCTGGACCTTCTCCTTTCCAGCCCCACAGTTTAGGGTCTACCTGGAGGCTGGAAATCGGGAGGCCATACGCAAAGACTTGGGAAGTCCAGTTTCCCTCCTCATCGCATGTTTCCCAAACCCGAATTTGATTCAGGCCAGCAGAGAGAGGAGGGTGAGAGACGCCCTCTTGTTGGATCAACTGATTAGGATGGTCTTTTCGTATGCCAGTCCAATGCTGAAAGGATCTCTTACCGACACAGTCAATGCTCTCCGATTTCCAAAAGGAATTTGTGTCTGTCGGATCCTGGCTGACATACCATGTACCCGGGGGGTCCACCCCCTCAGGGCTTAGGAGATACTTCCATTGTTCTGGTATTGCATCGATCAGATCCCCCCTGCGTTCTTCAACGTGCCATATAGCACCCAATAAATTTCTAAGCTCTAATGGCGAAAGCCATCTGTTCTCAAGATCATCCCAAATATCAGCAATCCTTAGTACCCCTCTCTCTATCCAACTGCGTCCAAAGCTGCTGCTTGCTGAATCTGCTGCAAACCAACTGTTATCAGGTTTCCCAATAAACGGATTTTCGAAGAGGGGCTGCATCAAAATTTCAGATTTGGTAACAGGCTGTAGCCACAAGTTTGGCTGCAACTTTTTCCAGGCACGTATAATGGCTTTCCAAAAATCCGAACCTATCATCCTATTCTAATAAGAGGGAAGCAGAAGGCATGTCCACACATCCGAAGGCCTCTCCAAATTCCATTCAGTTGCCAAGATGGCTTCAACCATTGATATCCAGTGGGCTTCCTCAGGGGAGCCTATCGCCTGTATAATCCACCACCAACATAGCGAGGCTCTTACGGTAAGGATGAATCAATCCCAACCCCCCTTCTTCCTTGGCAAAGCACAGCGAGTCCCAAGCTACTTTAGACATAAACCCTTCGTTGTCACCAGAAAAGGGTTTCCATACAAACCTGGCCGTACGTCTGCGGATTAAGGCACACAGGTGCTTACCTAAGGGCCCACCTGCTGCCACGAACCACAATAAGGCAAATAGAGCCCCATTAATTACCATTACACGGCCCATCAAAGAAAGAAGTGAGGGCTTTTCCCCAAATGGAAGCCCTCTGTAAGATTCTTTGCAATAGAATACGTTCCTGGTCAACTGTACAGGTAAGCAAGGATACTTGTACCCCTAAGAATCTCTCAGAGTCTCCAGCGAGTATGTGTGTTCATTCCCCCGTCGACGACCAGTGATAGGGAGTCTGGTAGAAAAAACACAAACTTCAACCAATTAACAGACGCTTCAGATAACATCGAATATTCATCAATACACAGTTTTAAGGCCGACATAGAGGACACCGAGTTCTCAGAGATGGCAAACAAATCGTCCGCCAATGCTTTCACTGGACAATGAGAAGTTCCCGTGATAAGACCCTTTATCTGTGGATTTCCTCTTACCATCGTTTGGACGAGGAGATGCACAGATGTTCTTTTGTAAAACTTATGCTACTGTCTTCACGCGAATAGAACGTCCGGTCATTATTTCACTTCACGCGAATAGAACGCCCGGTCATTATCTCGCTGTATCTAGACGGAAAGTTGCCCAAAATACCGCTATAAGAAATGGGCGCTCTATTCGGGTGAAGATGGTGAGTGTCTCTGGCTGACATGATTAACTTCTTGTGTTGCTGTATTATCTCGCTGTATCTCACATGAAGAAGATGACGTGAATCAATTGACCATCTTCACCTCATATTGCTATTTAGAAGCCATAATTAACTTCTTCTTCTTCTTCTTCATCTTCGTCGTCGTCTTAGTCTTCGTCTTCATCTTCTTTCAACTTCTTCTTCTTCTTCTTCTTCTTCTTCTTCTTCTTCTTCGTCGTCTTCGTCTTCGTCTTCGTCTTCGTCTTCGTCTCCGTCTTCATCTTCTTTCCTCCCCCTTTTTTTTTTTGAATGCAAAAGCCATTGACAATGCGACAAACATTGTTTGATGATTTTTATTTTTTTAGGCACAGGTTCATCAAAAAGGAGTACCACGTGTTCTGGTCAACAAGCCACAATTAACTTCTACTTTCTCTATTTTTCAAAGAATTTTGTTGTTCTTTTTTAGCTGCTACTGACTTTCTCTATTTTTCAAAGAATTTTGTTGTTCTTTTTTAGCTGCTACTGTTCTATTTTTAGTGTCCTTTTTTCTAAAAAAATTGACCTTAGTCGTGGTTCGTTCCCTGTGTGAATTCCTCCTCCTCTCTTGCAGCTCACAGCAGGCATTTTCGGTGGGTCAGCGTCCTTTTTTTTTTTTTTGCATCAGCTATGGAGCCAGCTTCTCCCGAAATCTCTGTGTCTTCGACTGGCAACAGCGATGTTATCCGGTTCGGCATTCTTGGGTGTGCACATATATCCCGTAAGAACATTCGAGCAATGAACATGTTGAAGGACGTGGAAGCGTACGCAGTCGCGAGCCGTTCCTTGGCAAAGGCAGAAGCCCATGCCGTCGCGACGGGAATGAAACCGGGAAGCAAATGTTATGGAAGCTATGAGGAGCTGCTTGAAGATCCACTTGTGGATGTGGTTTATGTACCCCTGCCATCTGGCCTGCACCTGGAGTGGGTTAACAAAATTGCTGCGAAGGGCAAGCATGTGCTTCTGGAGAAGCCGGTGGCAATGAGTATAGAGGAGTTCGATAAGATGCTGGAAGTGTGCCAGCAAGCGGGGGTGCAGCTCATGGATGGAACAATGTGGATGCATAACCCGCGGACAAGCGCGATGAAGAGCATACTGAAAGAGAAGAAGGCGATCGGCAGACCCATTTCAGTTTATGCGGCTTTCGCAGCCCCTCTGATGAATGCAGACTTCCTGAAGAACAACGTGCGGATGCAGAAGGATCTGGATGGTCTCGGAGCACTTGGGGACCTGTTGTGGTACTGTGTTCGCGCTGTGCTTTGGACAATGGACTACGAGTTGCCAAAGGAGGTGCGTGCTCGACCACACACGGTGTTCAACGACCAAGGGGTCATCGTTCAGTGTGGAGCGGACTTGTTTTGGGAGAATGGGACTGTTTCTTTCGTCGAGTGCAGCTTCAATGGTGGGCTTCGACAGACCGTCGAAATCAGTGGAACGACGGGACTGCTCACAGTGATGGACTTTGTCCTGCCTTCTGTGGAGACTACTTCTGTTTTCGAGATCCGGAGGAGGTCGTCGAATCCGCACGTTTACGGGCATATTGTGGATATCGAAAGACACGAGGTGAAAACTGAGCTTCCCCAGGAAGCGTTGATGGTAAACCAAATGGCGCAGCTAGCGAGGGGGCTGAAGAATGGCACGGGAGTCGTCGACAACCATTGGCCGGATATTGCGAGGAAAACCCAGCTTGTCCTCAACGTAATCGAAGAATCTATCAAGGCTGGTGCGATCACCGTGGCTGTTCAATGACTACGATTTTACAGACGGATGTACATGTCGGGAGTCGTTTGACGATAGAGTTTGTCGAAGGATGAAAGGAAATATCTTTGTCGACACAGACAGTGTGAGCATATTTGTGCCCACACTTCCAGTATGTGCTTGGTCAGGTGGAGGGGTCCCCTATTTTACTACCGGTCGTCCCCCGAATCGAACGTACGGGCACAGCTCCTAGGTCTCCTAGGTTTCGGTGGTTTCGGTGGTTGGGGCGTGTAGTCATATGGGTAGGTTCGTGCGAGGTATACTTGAGAGAGAAGAATGTGGCTTAGTGCAAAGTTCAAACATACAAAAAAAAAAGAGACGTCTGTAGCTTAGTGCAAAGTTCAAACAAACAAAAAAAAAAGAACATGCAGTGATTGTATCAATTTGTATCCGTTTATTTGGCTTAACTTTCAGTCCAGATGCAGCGAAAATGGCATTTTTATCTATTCAGGTGAAGCGGATAGGTATTTCTATACTGCTATCTGTGTGTGTTGCCATGGGTTAGTTTTGAAATCTATTTGCTTCTGCCTTTTACCTTCCTTCTGCATATTTAAAAGGCCTTTCTCAGCTCGATTCAATCCACAATCTAAATGCTCACTGCAACTGACTTAATTCAAGTTAATTGAAGCTAATTCCTAATAAATGCTAAGTAGCAGCACATGGTTATGTGTCACCTCATTTCGGTTGTTTGACGGAATCAAAAGTTTTGACTGAGGAGCATGAGCCTGTACTTGGTAAGAGACGCTGGCTCAGGCTGCTATGCATAATCTGCATAGACCTACTATCCAGATCTCTATGGAGCTACTATGCCGAAATCTGCAAGGAGTAAATACTAAATAGTGAAATGGCATAGCCAAAAGATGCGGCATGAGGAAGTAGGCCATAGTCAGTATGTCACCTCTCTCTCTCTCTCTCTCTCTCTCTCACTTGTGCACATGCCGTGCAGGCTTAGCTCTCTCTCTCTCTCTCTCTCTCTCTCTCTCTCTCTCTCTCTCTCTCTCTCTCTCTCTCTCTCTCTTGTGCACATGGCCATGCAGGCCTACCACCCATGCTCCTTGGTGACAAGCCAACATCGTCATCGCTCCACTTACTCGATAAGTTTGCTCTAGATTTTTCATTTCTTTAGCTGTCAGAGCGGGTCGGTCTTTCTCACTCTAGATTGATCTACATCACCAGCCTGCAGAGGCGGTTTTTCTCAGGGAGGTCCGGAGGCCCCTTCAAACGCCTTGGTTTTCCTTGAGTGGGCCTTGAGTCTGGACGGGCAACCCACGCTGGCGCTGTCCTGTAGTGAAATGGCCCGAACTCAGAAGTGACAGACCAACTCTAGCTTTTCTAGAGTCTAGAGCTACTCTAGCTTTTCTAGAGTCTAGAGCTACTCTAGCTTTTCTAGAGTCTAGAGCTAGTGCGGCGATGCGTAGATTTTAGGACTTTTCGTGACTCTGACAGCTCTAGAATGACACGAGAAATTTATCACGAGTCTAGAGTAGTGCGGCGAGCCCCTATGTGAATGCATGCCTTCCTCTCATGCTACGTGTTGCTATAAATAAGAAAGAGTGGAGGACACACAAAAGGAGGATTTGCAATTTTGCAACAAACAATTCAGAAATTTCACGTGGACTGGCGGGGGGGCCTCAACCGAGAGATGCTTGGGAGAGGTGCTTTCGCCAGGGGTGGAAGCGACAGAGGAACCCCTCAAAATGGATTTTCAACTGGTCTTCTGCGAATGGTCCTTGCTTCCAGCCCGGACAGAGTCTCAGGGCTCCTGCTTTTTCCTTCAGACTCTTTCCCTCCCTGTGAGCTGGCGTCGTCACCCGAATAGAACGCCTGGTCATTATAGCTGTTTTTGGCACAACTTTCGGTCCAGATGCAGCGATAATGACCGGGCGTTCTATTTGGGTGAAGACGATAGCTTTGGCGGAACACAATGGTTGAGCCTTGAGGAGGTAAATTTTTTCTTCAGCCGAAGTTATCGGATGGACAGGAAGCTGGTGTCCAACGATAAATCTGTCAGCTTCTACCGGGAGCTGAAGGGGCTATCCTGCATTCCCTTCAAAGGTCTGTTCTTATCTTATTTGATGTTTATGGCACGCTGGACCCGGTTTCCTGCAGGTGAAGCTCCCCATCTTTTTTTTTTTTTTTTTTCGTTTTTCGGTGAAGCTCCCCATGAATAGACGGGAGCGGTTGGCTTTCCCATGCTCTCCCATGCTCTTTGCTTCTCCCTCTTGTCCTGTATAATACTGGCTTGTCAGTGTTGTCGCCAGGGACTTCAAGTGGCCGTGTGAATCTTCTGGACATGGCTGAATGTCTCCCTTCTCACAATGTGTAGACTCTTCTTCTTCTTCATGTACGGTCATTTAAATGCTGCAGTGGTTATGATAGATGCACTTGTCACGACATGCAAGCCAGGTACAGTCAGTAACTGGCAAGGAACTATGCTTACAAATGCATCAGTTTTAGGTGGGAGCGAACTGACTAAATGAATCACAGTTTGGGGGTGGGGGGGGTGAATAGAACGACGCCCGGTCATGATCACTGTATTTAGACTGGAAGTTGGCCCAAAATACAGCAGCTATATTGACCGGGCGTTCTATTCGGGTGAAGACGGCAGTTGGAGCAGGTGATGGCAGACCTATCCCGGTTGGATCTGACAATATGTGAGAACCTAGCTTTCCACCCCGGGCGCACGGGGTATCCCACCATGCCCGGAATGGCGCCCGGCCGGGTGACCCCCCCGAGCAGGCACCCGGGCGCCTCTTGCACCAAGCAGAAAAAGCCAAAGAAAAAAATGTTTGCCGCAGCCCTATTCCAAACGTGCCAGCTTTGTCTTCTGCGGTCGGCGCATTTTTTTGGGGGGTCCGGTAGGCCCCGTTTTGTAAGTCTTTAATTTTTTGGGGGGTTCTGGTCGTCGATCTGCACAGATCGACGGTCCGCGCTGATACAGAATTCAAATTTGCACCCTCCTGCACCCCCCCCCCCTGCTGACCCACAGAAATCAACATACGTGAAAATAAAAAAAGAGGCCGGATCATTACTCCCAAAGCGCAGCAAGGTCTGGTGGTTGAGCAAAAAAAAAAAAAAACTTGGTGTTTTTTTTGCATGCCTGGGGTACCCCCGGGTGGGGTGCCCCGGGAGCCCCGGGAAAGCTAGGTGAGAACCCTTTAAAAGGAACACGGGCGAATGACACTGAACAACGGGCCAGCCACCCATGAACTGTTAATAAACAGACTGAAGGTGGGTATAAAATTCAAATACGAAAAATATAATACAGCTATAATGACCGTGGGTTCTATTCCGGTGAAGACGGCAGTTGCAGCCGGTGGTGCCAGACCTATCCCGGTTGGATCTGACAATATGTGACAACCCGTTAAAAGGAACACAGGCGAATAACACTGAACAACGGGCCACCCATGAAGTGTTAATAAACAGACTGAAGGTGGGTATAAAATTCAAAAAACGAAGACTGAAGATGCGTAGCCGAAAGCTTTGGTTCATAGTATACTCCGGTGACTACTCTGGTCCACAAGGGAACTTTTCAAAAGTAATCCTGCACGTATCGTGAGAGAGAGGGAGAGGGAGCCGGGGGAGGGATGGGCCTTCCAAGAATAGGAACTTTTCAAAAGTAATCCTGCACGTATCGTGAGAGAGAGGGAGAGGGAGCCGGGGGAGGGATGAGCCTTCCAAGCAGGGGATATGGGTTCGATTCCCGTTATCCGCAATTGCGATTTGATGAAAAAAAAAAACTGAGATCAATAAAATGCGCATATCAAAATTTAAAACCCAAAGGTGGGTAGCCCGAAGCTTTTGTCCATGTACTATGGTGATTATTCTGGTCCATATGGAGGAAACTGGTAACCTTCTTTTGAGGGAGAGCAAGCCCCCGTGGAGGGCTCTATCCACTGGAAGGTCCTCTACAGCTATCTTGCAACTTCACCGCAGTCACTGATTCTACCGTGACAGTATTCAACGCATGAAATGAAACGAAATGAGCTGCTTCTCAATGTATCACACGTACTAGAGTTGCTCCCAAGTGAGTGAGTTGCGCCCACTGTGTCATGAACTCCGCTGTAAAGCCAGGTTCCCATCACAGTAGAAACGTCCGAGTCCCCTTTTTGCACACACACACACAAACACACACAACACACACACACACACACACACACACACACACACAGAGGAGCGCCCACTGTGTCACGAACTGCGATGTAAAGCCAAGTTCCGTTAACAGTAGAAATGTTCCTCGCCAAGTCCCCCTATTTAGCTGTGCAAAGAACATTTTCTTCAAACACCGGACTCCAGAACAATATTCGATCTCGAGCAACCTTGCAGTATTATTCTCCCCAATTAAAGACCAACTGCAGCAGGAAAAGAACATTTAAACCGCCAGTACCTCACCCAGCCATTTTTCTCAACACAGGCGTTATCTCGTGAGAAATTAAAGACCAACTGCAGCAGGAAAACAACATTTAAAAGTGAACTAATACTAATTGGCAACATTCCAATAATGATGGGCAGAGGGACTTTTATTATAAATTTTATTATTAATGGAGCTTGTAACCGCCAGTACCTCACCCAGCCATTTTTCTCCAACGCACGCGTTATCTCACGACAAATTTCCGGAGTTGGGCTACTACTGAAGCAAAATGTCCGGGCAGCCATTTTGCTTAGCGTTATCTCACGACAAACGCAGGCGTTATCTCACGACAAATGAGCACCAGCCAAAATAACGCCCGCCCGGACCAGTTCAGTTTTCGTTGGTGCATAGCGTGTTCCCACGGTTGGAAAAATATCAGCCGAAGGTACTGGTGGTTTAAGCCATGGCACCTGTGCAAAACACGGACTTTTTTTTTTTTTTTTTTGGGTTGGCAAGTCGGCGTATGATACACCACAATAAAAACAGATTGGACATAACCCACAGTGCCCCCGCATCTTCCGCACAGAAAGAATGCCTGGCCTAACGCTCGAACTGCCTGTATAACAGGGGGGTCGTCCGACTATATGCTTCAATCAGGGCGGCAGGGGGGGTCTGCCTTAGCCCTTGGTGCCTGCAACAGCTGTCCGGTCCGGTCACCTTCCTTCACTGAGATGGTAGAGGGGTGATAGTCCTGAGTGGTGAAACTCTGAGGGAGGATAGTGGGGTTCGGGGAGGACCAGGAGAAAGTAAAGAGAGAGGAAGGTTGGGAGGTAGTGTCATAAGGAATACCGCACCCACCCCCCCGCCCCCCAACAACAAAAAGTCTAGAGTGTCATAAGGGATACAGCACCCACCCCCCCGGCCCCCTTCCCCCCCCCTCCCTCCCAACAACAACAAAAAGTCTAGAGTGACTTGATCATTTTACCAGCTGATTCATCATACTCTACAAAGACACAAATCTGCCACGTAGAATGAATACCTTCATTTTATTTTATATTATACCCCACTTGCATCAAAAACGATCCATCATCTACTTCGCTACTCGTCCGAAAGAGCTCATCTGGCCACGCAGATCGGTCGCAAATCAGTTGCAGCTATGACAGGTGAAAGTTGGCATTTCCATATTGCCTCACTGGATGCCAAGATCACAATGGACGTAGCTGCCCTCCTGGCCACGCAGGGCGTAGTCTGGCTGCCCTCGGCTTGGCTTGCAGACAAATCCACAGCAGAGCTCAAGGATACATGGTTGACAGAGGATGTTGATGCTTCTTTAGCTGCAGACTTTTGCTGCACATTAGCCACTGAAAAACAACCATGTTCACCAGGCTTCCAGAATCTGCTCCTTGCTCCATGGACTCCAACTGCGGACTTTCTCCTCGATGGCCAACTTCAACGGGGGCCTGGGATTTTCAGGCTCAATACAGACCATCTCAGTTCACCTGAGATCATCCAGTGGTTGGCTACCCACTGGCAAGATTGGGAGCAAACAAGGGATTGGTTTGACTCAGAAGAACAATGGACGGCCGTAGGCTTTAGGATAGTCACCCGGGCATTGGACACATTTTCCAGGATTCAAGCCAAAGGTAGGAGACAGCAAGAGGAGGAATGCCTACGCAAAGTACAAGAGGCCGAAGCTATGCTAGAAACGAACCCACTTGCTGAACTATATTGGTACCACAGGAGAGATAGATGGCTGCAAAGATGGGAGGAACTGCAGATTGGGCAGCAGATCAGCTGGGCAAATAGGGCCAGAGAGAAAGGCATGATCACATCGGACAGAATGAGCAAGGAAACCTTCCAGCGCATATGCCCTCAGAGAACTCACTCGGTCATAAGGGAGCTGCAGCATCCATTTCATGCAGAAGCGGACCCTGCGACAGACTCCAAGGCGATCGGGGACTTTGCGAGACAGTACTTTGAAGACATACTGACCTCACGCCGCCCTCCGGATCAATCACTGTATCACCTGCAGGAAGAGCACGACCTATGGCAGCACACAACAGCGCGCCTTTCTCCGCAAGCAGCGGAACTGCTGGAGCAGCCAATTACCCTGTCGGAGCTGTGGGCTGCAGTGACGGGCTACCGGTCGAATTCTACATTGCTACATGGGAGCATGTTGGACCAGTTCTGCTGAAGCTATTTAACAGGATTCTTGAAGGAGGCACATTGACGGATGACATGAAATTTGGAGTCATAACGCTGCTATATAAGAAGGGTGATAAGCGTAACGTTCGAAATTGGCGGCCCATCAGCCGCCTGAATGTCTCCTATAAGATTCTTGCCAAGTTGTTGGCTAGGAGACTGGCGCCCCTACTACCGGGTCTCGTGCACACTGATCAGGGAGCCTTCGTCCAAGGCAGATCCATCTTCGAGAATGTGCTCATGGCAATGGGTGCTTTGGAGATCATTCAGCGGGAAGACAGGCAGGTTATGGTGGCGATGCTGGATCTCGAAAAGGCATATGACAGGGTCAATTGGTCGTTCGTTCTTGCAACCCTGCAGCATATGAACTTTGGCCCCATGTTCCGTCTGTGGGTAAAGGAGCTCTACACGGATTCGACGGCTGCAGTTATTGTCAATGGTTTCGTCTCTCCAACTTTCTCCCTTACTCGCTCGCTGCGCCAAGGATGCCTGCTTACGTCGCTCCTTTTTGCTGTCCAAATGGAGGTTCTCCTCAATTCACTTAGAGCAGCTTCGCTCCTTCGAGGCCTGAAGTTGGGTAAAGGTGAGCAATTGCTGACGGGAGCGATTGCTGATGATCTCCTCTTGGTTACGGAGGCTACTCCAGACTCAATTACGGAGGCGAAAAGCATATTGGACGCCTACTCACAACTCTCTGAAGCGCAGGTCAATTGGAACAAGTCGGTTTATTTCTTACCGACTCGCTTCAGTCTTCAAGGGGAGGCATGGGGCATGAAGAGAGTACCAGCTCAAGAATCCGAAAGATATCTAGGTGTCCACGTGGCCTTGTCGGACGCGAGACCTGTACAAGACTACATTTTGGTGGCGAAATCCAAGTCCGTTCTTAAACGTTGCAGATCAGCCGTGGGTGTCTCTCTTTTCGGAAGGGCCATCCTCATCACATCAGCAGGTTTTGCACAGCTATGGTACACTGCGACCGTAATGCTCATATCAAAGTCTACCTTGAAGGCCATTCGTGCGGACGCTGCCAAGTATCTGTGGAAGCCCGGAGCGGAAAGTCAAGATGGCTACATCTCTAAATGTGCCTGGAGTAAAGTTACCAACCCACGCAAGGAGGGAGGATTGGGCATTCTGGACCCAGAAACACAGAACCTAGCCCTGTTGGGCAAATGGTTCTGTAAGGTGGCTCACAGTCTGACACAAGGGCCTGGGTGGCAATTCTTGAGTATATTCTACAGCAAGATCTCGGGCTCCTTCGCGGCCAGGACATCTGGGCATGTATCTTCATGTCCTCTTTCGTCCGACGACAGCCTTCCTCCACGTTGGCTACAGCATGTTGGACGGCATGGACAGCTCTTCAACCGCTGCAGTCCAAGCAGCCTACAACTCGAGAAGAGGTAAAACAACAGACCCTCTTTGACAATCAAGCCATTCTCGATGGCTGTGGCCTTCCCTTCCATGCAACAAGAGCCCGAGGGGCCTTCGGCAGATCATGGGTAGAGAGGGGAATCACGCGCATTGCAGACATTTGGGACGAAGATTCATGTAATTGGATCCCTGAAGAGCGATTGAAATTGCAATTGCGTCATTTACCCCATGTGCCACAGTGGAGACAGCAACTCATCCAAGCCATTCACCCAAGCTGGATAGCTCTACTGCAGTCAACAGACCCAGTTCCAGGAGAATGGTATGCCACAGGGCGGGCAGGCGAAGATGAGGAGAGTATCTTTCAGATCACACAAGACTTGGGCGATGACCGCCTTTTGGCCAACCAATGGACGAGACAAGAAACCTTCGGGAAGCCTCCAAAGCTCGCAGCGCCCACAGAAGTATGCATCAGTGCTCAACTGCCCCTTCAGCTCATCCGAGTCCTTGCTACTTCACAGGCGACCCGGACTCCAATCCACCTTCTTCTGATGGACGGAAAACCACTCAGCAATTTGAAGATCGACCCCATGGGTCACAAATGGCAGCTCCCAGGAGACCGGAGCGTTTGGCTATCGCAATACTCGTCCAAGGTAGGCAGGCAAATCATGGCAAAAGAGCCTGACTTATCAGACAAGGCAGCCAAAAAGCTCGGCGGACTGATACAGGCGCAATCCTCCTCATCACAACTCTCCCTGCATGCCCGGGACCTTCTACAGCTTTGGGATCAGCTAAAAGTTTTGCCTTCTCAAAAACTTGCAGCCTTGTCTTGGTTGCTCTCTCATGCAGCCATTCCAAGTGCTGTTTGGCTCTTCGAGAAAGGCATGGACTTAACGACCAAATGCCTCAGATGTGGGAGTCATGCGGAAGAAACGCTGGAGCACCTTATTTGGACTTGCCCAGCCTCCCGCAGGCTGTGGAACTGGTGGGGCAATCATTGGCTCACCTTTGTGGGAGATGCCCTACTTTGGGATGAGGGATGGGCTCTCCGTGGGATGCTCCCACCCTCCTGGTTCAAGCATGTTGGTAGAGGCTATGTTGGTCAGGCTATCCGTTCCATTCTGATCTGGATCATATGGGAAGACAGAAACAGCATTCTGTTCAGACAGGAGTGGACCCACGACGCTGCAATGCAGCACGGGGAAGGCACTGGTTCCTGGTTACCTGGGCTCGAGACAACAAGCTTGCAGCCATATCTCTCACAGGGCAGCTAGTTATCTCGCCGTGGCTCAGTGCTGAGAGTCAATAGGTTACGCTCGTCTTAGTATTCTCCCAAGTAGTTCGTCCCCTCTTAGCCCTTCACCCCCCTCTTCTCCTAGTCCAGCAGTAGCTTCTTCTGAACTCAGGGTGACAGATGCAGCGTAGTCTTGGTAGGATAGTTCGAAATCTCTCTTCACAACCAGGGCACTCGGTTTGTCTGGGCCACGGGAGGCCGTCAGCTTGAGTTGCTGAGGGGAGGGGGTAGGAGAGTGTCGCAGTAGGGGAGGAGCCAAATATTGGCTCCAACCAGCCGATTTAGGCTGGTTCCAGGCTGTTGATATAGGCCAGCCTTTTTTAGATAGCACCCTCGTCTTTTCCCAAATGCCCTCGTCTTCCACCCATATCTCCTCACTTCCTTAGTCTTCCCCTCCCCCTCCCCTTTTCCTGTTCTCCTGCCCCCTTCTCCTCCTCTCATTCCCCTTCCTTTGCTAAATCTTCTCTCTCCAATTCCCCTTCTCCTCTATCCTACCACTTACCTTGGTACAGCTCAATTTCCAACCCAAGAATGTATCCCCCAACAATCATATAAGTGTAGTGCTTGTTCAGCTTAGGGCTCGGTAGACTAGTATAGATTTTGAACTCCAGTTTTTAATGTTGATGACATCCGGTTCCTCTCGGTGCCGTAAAAAGCGAAACTGGCTAATGCTGCCAGAGGTTCGATCCGGGTTGAATTGTGGGATCCCCGACCCCCGTTACCATTTCTTTTCGAATACAAACAAACAAGAGAGATTTCCAAGTTAAAAAAAAAAAAAGAAAAAAAAAAGAAAAGAAAGAGCTCATCTGCCACGTAGAATGAATACCTTCATTTTATTTTATACTATACCCCACTTGCATCAAAAACGATCAATCATCTACTTCGCTACTCGTCGGAAAGAGCTCGCACCTCTGCTATTTGTAACAAGGATATGAACTTCTTGTTGTAATTCTCCTCTTTTGTTGTAATTCTCCTCTTCCCTCTTCCACGCTTCTGATTTTTTGCATTTTCGTTATCTTCGTTCGATGAATCTCTCATGGACACGTCTTCCTCCGCACCCTCCGTGTTCATTGTATTTTTTTGCTAAATGCATGTCTTATGGATACGTCTCCATGCTTCTCATTTCAGTTTCGCATTTTCATAGTCTCCGTTCAATGCATGTCTTACGGTTGCTTTCCCACTTCCTTTATTCTCTTCTGTAAGTAAAATTTCTAAACTGTTTTGGCATGCATTTGCATTTAACTTGTTCTTTCCTTTCTCCCTTCCCGAATGTATTCCAATTGTAACAGGTTTCCCGAACGGCCATTCGCTTTCTATCGTTTTCTTTTTTTCTCTCTTCATGGTATGACAGTTACGCCAGCCTTCGTTCTGACGCAAACGGAGCTGCACTGGCCCTTCTCTTCCGACTGGTCAGACGGGCTGGTCCCGTTGCATTATAGATTGCTGGCCTGCCCTGAGAGAACTGATGCAATGCAATGCGACCAGAGTGCACACCTTCGGTGCCTAGTCGTGTATAACTCACTTCTTCGTGTCCTTACATGTGTAGATGAAATATCTCCCAACTCTCCTTCAGTCGAAATATTTCCAGTAGTCAAGATGTTTCCGTGAACCGAGACGTTTCTGGTACCTGGTTGGCGTGAACGAGAAGCATGGGAGATATAATTTGTTGTGTATTTTCCCAACCATCCTGATATACGTCTATATTAATAGATTATGGTTTAGAGAACTTTAGACTGTTTCCAGGATCATCCCTGGCAGAAAGACTCCCTGAGAGGAAGCCAAAAAAGAAAAAAGGAAGGGAAAACTAGGGCGCAGTCTAGGTTTGCAAAAAAAAAGCAAAAAAAAAGAAAGGAAGGGAAAACTAGGGCGCAATCAAGGTGTTTGCAGTTTTAAATGCATTTCAGACATGGTTTCGCGGATTTTGCTCCACAAAAAGAAGGGAAAATCATCAACGTATGCAACCCACCTTCAGAGTTGGGATGTGGAAGTATGAAATGGGATTCCGAGAGACCCGCGGGGCCTATTGAAATTTAAATATGACTCTGGAATCGACCGACAAAAGGTCACACAATTTGCTTGACAAACTAGCGGTCCCTCCGTTGACAAAACTAGTGGTGCACATTGTGAGAGCCGCCGCATGTGCGCGCGACAGCAGATAGTAGAGAATTGAGTAACATCCGTCCGTCTCTTGTGAACATGCACCTTTTTTTTTTTCTTTTTTTTTTCCACATTTCATGGGTAGAAAGCACAGACTGGACATCACACGCCTCCGTTAATGAAACTAACCGCTACTGAATGGCCAAAAGTCTCACACGATAACAATAAACGAGAAATAAAACCAAACAAATACTTGATTTCAAACCTCGTTAATTTGCTTGAATCTTTCTTCTAAAAAAGATAAATAAAAAAAAAACTGCAATCTCTTTTTTAGTTTATAGGATTAGCCCTTTTAACTCAGTGGTAGAGTAACGCCACGGTAATGCGTAAAGGCACACACTCAAATGAATATGCCATCAGGTGGGCTGGGGTGTTTGCCAATGTGACAGTTTGCCAAAAAAACGGTGACAGTTCGATGCTCGCAATCAAGCTGCGGGCGGGAAGAGTCGTTAGAGCTGTTCATCCAACATGCCAACTCAAATCAGGGAGTTAAACTTGGCCTACCACAACTTGGCCTGCCACCCTCTGCTGTCTGCAAATGTGTACTTCAATAGACAGACGGACAGAAAGAGAATGCTGGCAGAGTCACTAAAAGGGTTGGTCGACCGGAGTGCAGCAGCATGGAACACAAACATCTCATCTCCCTGTGGACTTCCCTGTGCGATTAGCGAAGACAGAACTTCACAAAAGCAGACCTTTGTTTTTCACTTCAAAAGAAGCTCCACCCTATTTGCGGAAGCATGGGGAGCAGCACGTGCTGGGAAACGGGCCCAGCATGACGCAATGAATTTTAGGATCGCAATACAAGCATCACCGTAGTGGAGCCTCTAAAAGAGCAGAGTGGGCCTAGGTAGATTTGAACTACTGACTTTACACTTGTCAAACTCGTCAACCGATTGAGTCGATATAGGCACGTTCTAGAAACCACGTCCGTCCTTCTCTAAGGAGGACAAACGGATAAGGAGTCAAGAACCAGTTCACCGAACCACGCACTAAGACATTTCCACAACGTTCAGTGCACTTCTTGTGAAACATTTCTGGTCACTGGTGTCAGCAAACCAATGTTTGTGAGGAAACATATGCACAAACAAACAACGAAAGAAAAAAAGAAAATTGTTTTGGCAGACACGACAGGGAGGTTCTGGATGTCTAAGGCCCCCCCTTTTGAAATATGTGTGTGTGCGTGTGTGTGTGTGTGTGTGTGTGTGTTTGTGTGTGTGTGTGTGTGTGTGTGTGTGTGTGTGTGTGTGTGTGTG